GCTGGATTGAGGTGGATTGAAGCTGGATGCACAATCCTTGGACGTGGATGGAGGCAGGGAAGAGTCTGTAGATCAGGCCCAGGTCTCCAAGATGGCCATGGCCACGTGTAGCACAGGGAGCAGCAGAGCAGCGTGTGCCCAGGTAGAAGGTCAAAGGAGCAAGAGCAAGAGGAAGAAGAGAGAAGAAGAGAAGAGGCAGAGGCGTGCCTTTCTCACCCCTTTTATAGACCTTGGCAGGAAGTCCTGAACACAGGAAAAGGGGAGTGGGAATAGGACAGGTGTATGCCCCTTTCATTCAGGCTTGTACCTGGTTTAGGGTTTCAGATCTCCACCCACCAGGGGCAGCAGGTTTCAAACCATTACATTTGGTTTTCTGAATATGTGGGAGTGTATTTACTGTCATTAGGGACTTGACTTCCTTCCATCTTTTGTACCTGTATGTGAGAGTGTCTTGATTAATCCTTTCTTTCTGTGTAGGGCATTTCTGAATATGTGGGAGTGTATTTACTGTCATTAGGGACTTGACTTCCTTCCATCTTTTGTACCTGTATGTGAGAGTGTCTTGATTAATCCTTTCTTTCTGTGTAGGGCATGTGACACCAGCTCATTATGATGAGCAGCAGAACTTCTTCGCTCAGATTAAGGGCTACAAGAGGTGTATCCTCTTCCCTCCTGATCAGTTTGAATGCCTCTACCCTTACCCTGTGCACCACCCGTGCGACAGACAGAGCCAGGTGAGAGAAGCAGAGCTGCTCTCTGCTCCATGCAGGGCAGGGCCCTTGTGAAGGTGCCAGCTGGGAGGCATCTGCGTGGGAATTGAAGCTGCATCCCGCTGGATGAGCTTTCCCAAAGCCTGTGTGATAACTGGAGAATGCGTTGAGACTAGATGGAAGGACTGGGGGGGTCTTTCTGGTTGTGTCTGGTCCTGACTTGCAAGTGCTGGGGCTATAAACATCTTGCTGATGGCACAGCTGAGCTGCAGTTGCTGCCTTCTCTGTTCTGTCTTGATGACATGGGCAAGCTCAGATTGGATCAGAGGCACACTGCAGGACTCCTAAACTGGTGATGCTTTGGAGCTTCTGCAGGACCTCACAGTGGAATTAAGACATGAATGGAAATAACAAAGCCATGTCAGGCAGAATGGAATGATTTGATACTGAGAGCCAGTAGTGAGGACGGTCACTGCAGGAAGTTCTTCTGAGTTTCCTAATGTTTTCTTCTGTTAGGTGGACTTTGACAATCCTGACTATGAGAAGTTTCCAAACTTCAGGAGCGTGGTTGGCTACGAGACGGTGGTGGGCCCGGGGGATGTGCTCTACATACCTATGTACTGGTAAGGAGGGTGCAGGGACTGCATGGTGACCAGCAGAGGTTTAAAACATCATCTTTTTAAAGTGTTGGGTTGGCTCCTAGGAGAATTTTGTTTTGATGGGTCCAGCCAGGGTGATGTTTTCCATGGTATCTTGGGCCGCTCTGCTTCTACTCCCAATCTGTTGGGTGGGAGTGGTAATTCTCCCTGGCACAGCATTACTGTGCAAGTACTTTGCTGACATGTGTGATAAAAGGATCTGTGTTTAGTTAAGGAAGGCTTTCTAGAAGCTCTGAAATCTTGATGTTGGAGGTATGGGGCAAGTGCTGTCTGAACTCATCCATCCAAGGTATTTCCCTATAAGCTACAGCAATAGTCTCTTTTTTTGTGTGGCTTCCATGCAGGTGGCACCACATCGAGTCTCTCCTGAATGGGGGGATTACCATCACTGTGAACTTTTGGTACAAGGTGAGTACAGGCACCTTCCTGCACAGCTTGGGGTAGCTCTATCCCAGAGAATGTTTTCAGGTGGAGAGGTGTTTGGCACATGTTGTCAACAGAGCTGCATTGCACCAAATCCTTTGCTTTAAAGCTGAAAGCTACACCCTTTCAAGTGGTGTATGGAGAACTGGGTGGCTGGGAGAAGGTGGAATTATCTCCCAATTCAGGAAGCATGCAATGAGCTATTTTTGGTGTTTTCAGGGTGCCCCAACCCCAAAGAGAATTGAATATCCTTTAAAGGCTCATCAGAAAGTGGCGATAATGAGGAACATTGAGAAGATGTTGGGAGAAGCCTTAGGAAATCCACAAGAGGTACAAAAAACACCCATATAGTCACTGCTGTTGAAATCGTGTGGCTGATGCAAAAGAGATGCCAACTTTTTGGCTCTGCAGGTGTCATAGTGAGGGTGGGAGAAAGCAGGGTTGCTGTGTTGCTGTGAATGGTTCTTCCTGCTGTCCTCAGAAGGTCCTTTGGCTACAAAAAGGCAATTTTAAGCTCTTTAAATTGTAATTCTGGAGAGGGCCGCTATGAACAAGGGGATAATTGTTCCTGTATGTGGGGGAAGGTGTACTTCAGCTTTGGGCACTGCTGGGGAGGTGTTGCTCCCAAAGCCTCCTTAGCCACCTGTGCAGCAATGATACCCAGCATTTGCTAAAAAGAGGAAACTGTTTTACAAGAACCAAACTGATGTCCTAAGTGTATGATTTTGAACATCTGCTGCTGGTCTGAAAGTGGAAGTGCTGGATGTGAATAGTAATACGTTCATGGTCTGTAACCCTTACCCCTGTGCAGGAACACCCCTGTAGCACACTCACTGGGAGATGGTGCCTCTCCCCTGAGATGATCTTACTGCCTTAGCACACTGGGCTTCCCTTAGTGATCAGGCAGCGACGAGAAATGAGAGTGGTCTTGGCTGAAAACAAAACCTTAGCAAAATCATTGGTCCTAGCTTTCTTTCCAAGTGACCCCAGGAACTAGAGAGGGTTCAGTGAGTGAGTGTTCCTTCTCTGCCCTGCACAAAGCAACCCCTGATGACTGTTGGCTCCTTTTAGTAATATTTACGAAGAAACCACAAATCTAGGGTGGGAAGTGAAAAAGTTTCAAACAAGTACCATGCATGCAGTGTTTTGGTGACAACTAAAGTTGGGTGTTGGCAGAGAGCCCTGCAGTTTCAGTAGGGTATTTGAAGACGTGCTCAAGAGTACCCCAGTGTCCTATGTAGAAAATACTTTGATTTGGTGTCCCTTAGCCTCTGCTTGCCCGTGGAGATCCTCTGCCCTGGGCTGCTCAGCTCAGGAGGTGCTGTGGTGCAGAGGGGGCAGGCTCTGCAGAGGGCACTGCTGTGTGAGTGTCCTGGCTAATGATCTGTTTTCACTTTGAACAGGTGGGTCCCTTGTTGAATATGATGATTAAGGGCCGGTATGACTAATGCCTGGCTGCCCGGGTGACTGATGTTGGAGCTGCTTTGTTCACAAGCAATGGAAGATACTGAGAGCTAGTATTGCACGCAGCACTTAACAGACTGATGGGTTTCCTGGCCCATCCCTGCCCCACTATAATAAAGGGGGCTTCTGGAACTGCAAAACCGTTAGTACCCCATTCATCCTCCACTCTCATCTAACCAAACCTCCCAAGAAAGAGTCTGCACTTACTGGAAGCTGGATTCATGCTCACTAACTTGGGTTTTTTTTTGTCCTTCTGCCCTGTTTGCCTCAACAAAGAGCGTGGCTTCTGCCACTTGGATGCATTACTTCAGGATTTTCAGGCATTTGAGAAGAGCTTGGCGGAGAACAAGGAGAGATCTTGTTTCATCAGCCTCTGGAGTTTGGACTTCCTGGCTGGGGTTGTGTGTTGGTGCCTGCAGTGGACTTGAGATGGGAAACGATAGGTTTCACAGTCCTCTGTTGTTAGAGGACCTATCCGTGCTCAACTGTGGCACCTCTTTGTGTAACAGAATTGAACATGTGAGATGGGCTGTGCATGCTGAGCAACTGGAGAAACGATTCTGTTTCTTCAGCTTAAGACATCTGTGCTTTGGACGTGGTACAGGGTAGAGATCAGAGTGAATTTATCTAGTGTGTAAGAGCCAAATCATGTGCTCTCCAAGTAACAGCTGTGTTGTAGGAGTCTAGGTAAACCTCCTTTCTGACAGCCTTCTCTGGGGAGAGAAGGCTTGTCTCTTGCTCTTCTGAAGCTGCAGTCTAGTTAAAAGGTTACATAGTGTTATGAAGGGAGCAGCATAAATGCCACGGCACTCTCCAAGTCCTGAATGACTAAGCCACGTTTTTAAATCAAATTCCCTAGGGGTGCTGAGCTAGACTGTCAAAACAGAGTGTCAGATGGGTACAGAGCCTCCCTTCTCCCCACCGTGGGTGCTGGCTCCTCGGACTACCTTGGGAAAGTGCCCTTTTTACTGAAACCACAAGAACTCAAGCGTGAGTGGCTGCACGCGGGTGTGCATGTTTGTGTGGCGTTGTGTGGCTCCTGTCCATCAGTTAAATCCATGCCAGTGTGTGGTTCCCTTCCTTGTACAGTCACGTGAAAGGGGTCAGGGCTTTCTGTTTAGATGTGGTTAAGTTTATCTTGATCCTCTTTGTGTTCCAGGACTTGACATGGCAGGCTGGGAAGTGACAAGACTAGGGTGCAGGAGCCAGACAAGCCTATATTTAAGAGTCCTCAGCAATCACTCTGAAAAAACATTTTGCTTTCCTCCTCTTCCATGCAAAAGCCTTAGGCTCATGTGAGGCTGGCTTTTTTTTCCCTGAGGTGTGCTGTGTTGCTGTCCCTGGTTTGGGGAGTGTTGCAAAGGCCTCGTATGTTTGATGCAGTTGTAACAGGTCCCAAGAGCTAGAGGTGGGAAAAGCTGCTTCATAGCCCATATAGCTGCTCCCAGGGAGTTGTGGGGAATTTGTTCTGTTAAGACTTCCCAGTGTTTTTCCATGTTGTTCCTCGGGGCTTGTTCTGACATGCAATTCTGATAAAAGTATTGGGAAGATGCTGCTCAAGAAATGGCCCACCTTTGGGCTCAGGTCCCATCTTTTGCTAGGGCAGCTCATGCACCACTTGCAGTGAGCTTGTCTTGCACAAAGGTGAAAGGCTTCTCAAACAGGAGGTCCCAGGGGCCAGTTTTCTGGCTGCTTTACAGGTCAGAACAAATGAAGTGTAATTGGAAGCTGCAGGTCCTTGTTCAAGAAATACATCTGTGTCACTGAGTAGTCTGGCTGCCGTGTTTCTTGTTGCAGACTCTTCAGAGCTGTGGTTAGATCCAAACGAAGGTCACTCAGCTGGATACTTCCAATGATCAGCCTTTGGGCAGGTGGAGAAGAAGGCTAAGCTGCTGACTCTGGCCAAAAGCAAGGCCTTCCCAGGGTTCCTGGGCACATGCCCTTGGCTGAAAGATGCTCAGATGAAATCCCATCTCTGTGCTATTTATTCAGCACATGGTGGTCTCCAGTACTACTTGTTAGACACCATCAACTCTTGAAGCTCAGGGTGGGAGTTCATATCCCATGTGGAGAGAGAATGGTACTTACAGAACTTCAGGATCCTTTTTTGTTTTTTTTTTATTATTTCCTTTATTTGCCAAAGGTCTAACTTTTAAAGTGTCTGAACAGGTTTTGCTGCACTTGACTTTGTGAAAGCTCATTTACAATGCACTGATGGACTGATTTGCCCCCGCCCCCTCTTCCCTTTTCACCTTGTGCTTTCAATGCCCCTTGCCATGGTATTGGGAAGCTGTGTGTTCTCTGCTAGGGGTGTGTGTGCAGAGGGTGTGGTGTGACAAACACACGGTACCTTCCGAAGTGTAGTTCTTAAATACAACCGATGTTGAACAACAGAACTGTTGTCTGACTGTTATTTTGTGAGCTGTTGTACAGGAGAGCTGAATAAGGACCTGTGCATGCAAAGCTACCTTTCAGTCTTGCTAATAACTCCTCTTGTGTTCTAGTGAAAGCTGCTGATGTCCAGAACTGCCTTCAAAACATCAATACCAGCTGCATTGTTGTGTGTCTTCACAAGTTTTCCCATACTACTTCTGTAAGCCTGAAAGGAAGGTTGGGAATCAGGTGGTATCCTTGAACCCTGCCAACAAGTGTTGGTGAGGAGGGAACAACTTGCCCTCCCTGCTGGCCCAAATGGTGTCACCATGGAAGATGGATGGAAGGAGAGAGAAAACTACACTATCAGCCTTAATGAGTTCTATTAGTTGTTTGTCCTTTGGGATAGCTTGTCATTTATTTGGTCCTTTATCTGATTCATACTTTGGTCAAGGAGCTTTTTGGGGGGAGGCTTCCTCTGTGTACCTCTGCTGTATGTTAGCAGCCTTGGGTGGTGGAGTCCACTCTACCTAATAAAGACACAGGTTATTTTATGGTAATATTAATTCTACAGCAATCTTGGCACCCTGCTATCAGTGAAGTGTTGGCTAAATCAAATTCCTGATGTGTAGTAAAATGCAAAAGACTTTTAATAGAGATGAAGGATGCAGAGAGTGGTGGGGGGAGAGAGACAGCTGTCTGTGCCTGGGCTACCACAACTGACACTCTCATGCCCTTGGGGGACAGGGCGAATGCAGAGGGAGTAGGAAAGACAAGTGGATAAAGCCTTCTAGGACCATGGGTGTTCACCCTTTGCTGCTGTGACTGCTGGGATGATTGTCTCTGGACACACACTTGCTTCTGTTCCACTGTACTTGGTCGTCTGTTATGTCTGCTCCTGTAGTCTTGGTTGTGCATGTCCCTTGGGTAACAGGCACAGCTAGCACCACCAGGCACAGAAAGCTGCCGGGTTGTGCTGAGCAGCAGGAGAGACTGAGGGATGAGAAAAGCAGATCAAACTCCCAAGATTTTTCACTTGTACTTTTCAACAACTTCTTCTTTGCTTTCATTACCTTAGGTCCTAAAATACCTTTCTTCTGTTTTGTTTTTCCAATTTCACCATTCCTTGGAAAGTGGGATTTTTCTAAGACATGATGCTTCTCTTAATCTTTGTGGATCATAGATGCAGGATCTTTCCTGTGGAAAGAAGAAAAAGAGCATGACTGATGTGCTCTTTACCCCTCTGGTGATCAGGCTCAGGCTGAGCTCAGTGATCACTTGGGAAATTTGGGGTGATAAAGCAGGTTCAAGGTGAAATCAGCAAGTCAGGATCAGGGCCAGAGCTGAGAAGGTATGAGACATAGCTGCAGTGCAGTCTAACACAGGTGGGGGTGAAGGGGGAGACCTTCAGCAGCAAAGCAGCTCTTGAGGGAGAGAGGCAGGCCGGGGCTGAGACTGGTGCTGCTTTACTTGGCAACAGTTGCAAGCCGACCTTGAAGACATCCAGTTGCTTTTTAAAGGCCTAGGATGGGGATGGTGCCCTCAGGGTATTGACCATGTCTTGGCAAGCCTCTGTGTTGATGCATGGCCCACCCATGCTGCTGTCCAGACCCTGGAAACAGAGCAGCAACTGCAACAGGGGCACTGCCTCTGCAGCTCTGTTCTTGCAAAGCACTCTTCTCTGAGCCTCCCTTCGGCCACGCGTGTGTGAGCAGCTTCCTTGCACCCTGGCTGATGGTCTTCATCCTCTGCTCCTGGTTTGGAGATGGTACCTCTCCTGTCCATGTCCTAGGAAGTCCTGAAGTCACCATCTTCCCTGTGTGCTTTTCTGCATCGGTGTCGAGTTTTGCACTTGGGGAAGA